ACTATCAGGTTACTCAGACAAGCAGATGGAACATTTTTCACATCTTGCTTCTCCTTTCCAAGAGCCCTGACTTTCTCTCATCAGTCAAAAAACATCCTTAGCCAGTGCTAGCAATTTAGTAACTCTGGCTGACTTCATGGCCCCATTGAAGGTTAGGCTACAGGCAGCTTACTCTGCTGTTCCCTATTCAAGATAGATTGTTTACCACTGGCAGCCTGCAGACATGGTTCCATCAGTTCGCAGTGGCAGAAACCAAGGGGGGGAATTCAGCCCAGTAAATCTGACTAATGCTAATTAGAATGCACATGTTTATAAAGGGCAGAATATACCCCTCAGTCTATATATTAATTCAGAAAGCAGTGGTTAATGAATTCAGTATTTTAGATATTTTTTGTTGAGATGGAGCAAAACAAATTTACTTTTCTGTACAACTGATATTCAATTGAATCTTAACACTTTCCTTCCACACACAATGTACTGCCATCACAGAATATTTCTTTTAATATATAAGCCTTTGTATGTTTTTTAACTCCCAGAGGAAGCATTCTCTGCAAAGCACTTATAGTGTCATACTGGTTGTTTTTTAGCCTTGCACATCTAATCTTACCACCTAAAATGCCCCAATATCCCCTAGTGGAGATAAAGTTCAAATAGATTTATGAAAATTTCTTCTTATCAAAAATCTAGAGTCACAAGATAAATTAAGACATTAATACAAAATCAAAGTTTTACACAATGCATACATTGGCAGAATATACATATTATGTTATGCAGAAAAAACTTGTTATGCAAAAAAATATAAAATAAGCATGAAAAATCAATCACAGAATTGCTGTGGTCTAGTTAGCTCCAGCTTTGATGGTAAGAAACATTGTGATCTTAGAACCTGGTATACATAAAAATAAATATGGAAATATACATGTGAATTTTAATAGATTTTATATTACAGGCAGTCCCCGGGTTACGTACAAGATAGGGACTGTAGGTTTGTTCTTAAGTTGAATCTGTATGTAAGTCGGAACTGGCGTCCAGATTCAGCGGCTGCTGAAACTGACCAGTGCTGACTACAGGAAGCCCAAGGCAGAGTTGCTCTGTCCCGGGCTTCCTGGAATCAGCTGCTGATCAGTTTCAGCAGCAGCTGACTTGGGGACGCCTGGTGTTCTTACCTTGAATCTGTATGTAAGTCGGAACTGGCGTCCAGATTCAGCGGCTGCTGAAACTGACCAGTGCTGACTACAGGAAGCCCAAGGCAGAGTTGCTCTGTCCCGGGCTTCCTGGAATCAGCTGCTGATCAGTTTCAGCAGCAGCTGACTTGGGGACGCCTGGTGTTCTTACCTTGAATCTGTATGTAAGTCGGAACTGGCGTCCAGATTCAGCGGCTGCTGAAACTGACCAGTGCTGACTACAGGAAGCCCAAGGCAGAGTTGCTCTGTCCCGGGCTTCCTGGAATCAGCTGCTGATCAGTTTCAGCAGCAGCTGACTTGGGGACGCCTGGTGTTCTTACCTTGAATCTGTATGTAAGTCGGAACTGGCGTCCAGATTCAGCGGCTGCTGAAACTGACCAGTGCTGACTACAGGAAGCCCAAGGCAGAGTTGCTCTGTCCCGGGCTTCCTGGAATCAGCTGCTGATCAGTTTCAGCAGCAGCTGACTTGGGGACGCCTGGTGTTCTTACCTTGAATCTGTATGTAAGTCAGAACTGGCGGTCAGTTTCAGCAGCCGCTGAATCTGGACGCCAGTTCCGACTTACATACAGATTCAACTTAAGAACAAACCTACAGTCCCTATCTTGTACGTAACCCGGGGACTGCCTGTACTGGGAAATAAAGAGAATTTTAAAAAATTAACCATAACTCAAATTCACTAATGGATGAGATGGCAAATTCCAATTTCTCAAAAAGGTGATAGGGATATTAAAATTAGATTAATCAGCTAATCAAACAGTTGATGCAACTTGTATTGACTATTCGATTAGTCGATAAGGGTGCCTCTGCCTTTGAAGGTGAAAGCACTGTGGGGAGCACAGGGCCAATGGGGTATTCAAGCACTCCCCCACTGGCCCCATGCTCCCAGCAGCATTTAATGCATGGAGCCTGGGGCCAGCCGGGGAGTCCCCAACTGACTCCAGGCCCCACGTAGCACTGCCACTTTCAAACACCGCATGCATTTGGGGACTCTCCAGCTGGCCCTGGGCTTCACGTGGTGTTTCAAAGTGGTAGTGCTGCGTGGAGCCCAGGATCTGGCCCCAGGCTCCACACGGCACTGTCACTTTGAAGTACTCCCTTCTCTCCCTACCACTTGCTATCTCTTTCTGATAGAGGATGCAGGGTGGGAGGGAGGAATTAGTTGACAAGTGTGTTGACTACCAGATCGTTGACTAGTCATTCATAGCCGTAAAAGCTGAATCACTTTTTTTTAAGTGATGAGCAGTCCATGAGCAGAATGGACGATTTTTCTCTCTTAAGTAATAATGCTTTGGAAATTCTTTGTGAGATTTTTACTTTGGTACCATAATCAGATAACAGAACAGGCAGCCAAGAGAATACACCTCTCCCCTATTCCCCACCCCCACAAACTGCCCCTCTCTTCCCCCCCCCATCAAAGCAACTCTTGAAGAATTATTGTTCTTTCTGCATTGCAGGAAGCACTCTCAGTCCACACAGTATTTCTGGTCTTGATTAGACTGGGATTTTTGCCACCTATACAAATACAACTCAGACTCTGGATTTACAAAAACTGGTATAAATTGTGTCCCCACTAGGTATTTGCCCCAACTACAGCTATGTTATGGCTAAAATTCCCAAGGCAGATAAGGCCTGACAGAGGGCCAAAAGGCATATCAAATTTCAGGGCTTTTTGTGTTAGGGTTCCATTTTCATCTAAATGTTTAGGAATAGATTTCTATGAGTTTCAATTTGTGAAGTTTCCTGTTCACTTTTTCCTAATGAGGAGTGGCGTACCACTTTGATATAAGTTGGAGGTTTCCAGTCATTTACTCACAAATTATCCTACATCTGTGCAGACATTAGGGGATCCGTAAGAGACAGGAGAACATCTGCACAGATGCTGTATACATGAATTCTGCCTCCTAGCCTCACAGGTGGTAACTAGCTCCTGGACAACTTGGTATCTCCAGAAGTTCCAGATCACTCACTGGACTGTTACCTCTAATTACTCTAAAAAGAGGTTCCAAAGTGTTGCTTTTCCTTAGGGTTATGTGAGCGGAGAGAACTTGTAGGAACCTGGATGACACTCAAGTCCTAGCCTAT